CGAAGTCGTCTCGAGAACAATGTGTTCGTGTTTAGTTCGATTTAAATATTAGTGTTCGTGTTCGGCTCGTGTTCGACTCGAAATTGGCTCGTTAAACTAAAATTGAGAAAAATAGATGTAAAATATGGGATTGATCAAATATATACAAAAGAAGACACTAACCACATTGTCACATGAGGTGTTATGATTTAAACTTAGACATAAATATATATAATATACTATTATATAAATAATATATATAATTTTTTTATTTCGAGCTAAACGAGTTGAACATGATTAATGAAAGGGTTGTTCGTGTTCAACTCATTTATAATTTGAGCTCAAAAAATTTGTTTGTGTTCGACTCAATGAATGATTCGAACAAAATCTACTTTATGAGCCGAACACGAGCTATTTGTGCAACGAGTTTTTTTGATAGTCCTATTCAGAATGATATAATGAATTGAATCATTGGAAAAGATGAAAATGTTTGATGCTAAGGGAATAACCGAATGGTCACATTATTTTGGCAAAGCAGTGGTAAAGGTGGCAGTTAGCAAAGACAGGGTGGGACATGGGTGGCGACAATGGCCACTGTTGACGAACAACGAGCCAAATTGACAGCCCCAGCATTATTTGATGGGCGTTATAAAAGTACATGTTTGGTGGCTCATTAGGCTCAATGAACGAGCCGAACACGAGCTGCTTAATGAGCCGAACACTAGTTGTTCACGAACAACTAGCCAAATTGACAGCCCCACCATTATTTGATGGGCGTTATAAAAGTACATGTTTGGCTGTTGTGGATAGAAGCTGTTGTGAATAAAAAAATATTGCATTATTGAGCAATTATTAGATCTAACAGCACTGCATATCTCTTTTTGGTCTGCCCACAGTTATATTTTTTTATTGGTCCTATCATCTGGGTAAAAATTAATGTGGAATGCATCCTAATGTCCACAATGACGTTCTAATCTGATTGATTGTTTATACGTATAATACATTATACGTGCGCAATAGTTTCTCTTATTTCATGGCGGCACCAATGGCTACTGCAGTGTTAATGAGTTTCTAATCTATTTATTATTCTTAATTGCAGGATTGTGATTCGTACCTCCTTTTAGACTGATGGTTAAATTGTACACAAAGATTTCTTTGATTTTTTTTTTATAATGAAAATTCACTATTAAACATGTTATTCAACTTCAAATTAATACACTAAGAATAACATATAATATAATATATAATCTCACGAACTGTAGCAGCGAATCGAACAGCACGGCCATGGCTTCCTTTCCTACCTCCTTCCTCAGATTAACTTTTCTGCGTACTTTTGGCAACTTCCTCTCGAGCCCCGATGAATCTCAGATCTAGGTTTTTCAGCAGAAACTTTATTTCCTCGTGCTTCCCAATTTATTAAAACAATACAAAAGACCCAGCACGAAACGCCGTCGCCGCCGGCGATCGCCGGCTGAAACCTCACTTACCCACCGCAACCTCAGCGACAAAACAAGCAACAAACTCCTCCATCTCATTCGCCGGCAACGCAATCCCCAGCTCAATTCCACCCTCCACTTCCCTACTCTCCGCCAACGCTATCGCCCCCGGCCTCGCCTC